GATGAGTTTTGACAAAGTAGACAAACAAGCACTCCAACCAAAATAAAGAATGCTCCTGTCACCACCAAACGGTGCTTTTACAGTCAAATCTCTTCTCATAGCCCTAACCCCTGGTAACCACTGACCTGTTGTTCTCCATCCCTATAGTTTTGATTTTTCAAGAATGCCATATAAATGGCATTATTCAGGATGTAGCCTTTTATGTTGGCCTCAGCATAATGCATTTGCGATTCATCCATGTTTCTTATTTCAGTAGTTCATTTTACGGCTAAGTAGTGTTGCCCTGTACACATTTTGTTTATCCATTCACCAGTTGGTGGCCATTTGGGCTCTTTCTAGTTGTAACACTTGAAATTGTCACTATTTTAAATTTTAGCTATTTGAGTAGTATGCAGGGATATCTCATTATGGTTTTAATTTGATTTTCCTAATGACTGATGACATTGCATATCTTTTCATGTGCTTACTTGCCATTCATGTATCTGCTTTGGTGAAGTATCTAGTCACACCTTTGGCCCAGTTATTTTAATTTGGTTGTTTGTTTTATTATTATTGAGTTGTAAAAATTCTTTATATATTCTGAACACAAGTCCTTTATGATATATGTTTTGCAAATATTTTCTCCCAGTCTTTGGCTTGTTTTTTCAATTTAACTTTGTCTTTTGAACAACAGAAGTTTTAAATTTTTGATGAAGTCCAATTTAACATTTTTTTTTATGGTTTGTGCTTTTTTGTGTCCTAGTCAAGGGAAAAAAAAGAAATTTTTTTTATAGAAACAGAGTAAAATGATGGTTACCGAGGGTAGGGGATTGAAGAAAATGGAAAGATATTGATCAAAGGGTAGAAAGTTTAAGTTATGTGGGATGATAAGTTCTAGAGATTTAATGTACAGCATGGTGACTATAGTTAATACAGTATTGTAAACTTGAAATTTTCTAGAAGATTATTTCTTAAGTGTTCTCACTACAAAAAAAGGTAAGTACAAAAAGTGATGGGTATGTTAATTAGCTTGACTAGTAATCATTTCACAATGTATATTTATATCAAAACATCATGTTGTGCACTTTAAATATATAGAATTTTTATTGAAAACTTTTTTAATTTAAAAAGAGAAATCTTTGCCTATTCCAACCAAAGCCACTATGATTTTCTCCTGTTTTCTTCTTTTTTTTTTTTTTTTTTAAAGATTTTTATTGGGGAATTGGGGAATGGGAACAGCTCTGGGGAACTGGGGGAAGGGGAACAGACAAGTTGCTGTCCTTTTGTTCTTCAGTCTAGTTGTGGAGGACATTGCTTCACTGGCCCAAGTTGGCACCATCATTGCGCTCTTCCCAGGTGAGGCAGATCAGTCGCCAGCTTCTGGATGGCTGCTCACGCTGGCTGCTGGCGACACACGGTAGCCCATGGCAACCCACTGCCACAGGGGCTGCAGCCTACGCGGTCTCCGGTGACTCACGGCAGCCCAGCTCCAGGTTGAGCTGTTGTTCAGCATCTTAGCTGTAGAGGGCAGTGTCACTGGCCCTCATATGTGGGATTTGAACCGGGGCCCTCTGGCGTCCCAAGCCAGCTCTTAACCAACGCGCCACTCAGCCAGCCCATCCTGTTTTCTTCTTGAAGTTTAATAGTTTTAGCTCTTACATTTAGGTCTATGATCTACCTTGAGTTAATTTTTATGTATGGGCCAAGGTAAGGGTTAAGCTTAATTTTTGTTTGTTTTGCATATGAAAGATCAATTTTTCTAGTATCATTTGTTGCAGAGACTACCCTATTCTTTGTCATGACTGTATAATGTTTGATTGAATGGAGGTTCTGTGATTGATTCAACCAATCTCACATTCATGGAGAGTTAGGCTGTTTCAAATCTGAGACTGTCATGAACATCCTTGCACCTAAACCACTGGACAGTTGAATGATTGTTTCTATAGAATTTCTGGGTGAAATGGCATGTGCATGTTAAGAGTTGATGAGTACCCCCAGATTGTTCTTCAATATACACTCCCATCTACAAGACCTGAGAAAGAAGACTCTAATTTTGACGGGATTTATTGGTGTAAGCCTTTTACAAATCTCCAATAATTTTCATCTGGGAAATTCGAATAGCCTGTGTTATTGGATCCTGAAAGATTAAGAGTCCTTCCAAGAGGGTTTGAAGAAAAGATGATACTTTTTGCCTCAGTCAGTTAGGGTGGTAACCTCATATGAAATAGGCTTATAAAATGCATGGTACCTGGGAAATGGAAATTTACCAAAAAAGCTGTTTAATAAGTATTGGGGGTTTATAAATACCTGTGTGCTGGGGCCTCGCGAAAGGGTAGAAATCCCTGTAGTAACTTTAGTCCACAGCGACTCGCCCACCAGTGGCCTGAATGTGTACATTCAACATCCCTTACGCAGGCCCCAACTCAGGGTGGCAGTCTGTCCACACTCTCACTTTCTCACCACACTCATCAAAGCCCTCCCTTGTACCAGGCCTGTGCCAGCCAGTTCTATGTGCAAAGACACAAAGGGGTTCTGGGAAATGCAAGCTGCTCAGGGTGGGTGGAGCATCAAGTTATGCCACTTTTCCTACTTCCTTTTCTCTTCATCCTGCAGTGGTGTGGTTTGATCAAATGGAACTGACATTGTTGAAGTGCTATGATTAGGTGACAGGGACTGTCCTGGGGGTCATGAGGGTACACAGAGCTATGGAACAGTCCCCCATCTTCAGGGACGTGAACACAGGTTAAATAGCAGCACACGGTGGTTTAGAAGCAGTTCAAACACAATACCAGCAGGTGTCACAAGCAGGACACAGTGATGTAATTTGTTCCAACTTCACGATCAGTGGTGAAGTCTGTATGCTGAGAGAAGGACAAATCACTCTGGCGACTCAGAGATGTAATCTGAACTGGATGGTGAAAATTCAGATTTTGGCACCGAGTTACTCAAAAGTTACCTTCCTCCCAAGTAGACTACACCTTTCTCCAAGCCACTGAAACCTCACTACTGGGGCTATAGGTTTCAAGCGTTAACAAGAACAAACCTGAGAATTTCCTGGTGGGGGGTTTAGCCAACAATCACAGATCTTTCCATTAAACATTTTGGGAGCAGCTAATGGTGGTGCCCCCTCTTTAAGCTGTCCTGTTAATTCTGAATGTACGCCAAGTATATTCTTTATGCTTTCAAAAGCTTTTCTTATAAAGTTTGTATCAGTTAGCCATTGCTGCATAACACATCATCCTATAACCTTGTGTCTTCGAGATGCCGAAGGCAGAAACAATAGCCATTTTATTTGCTCATGAGTTTGTAATCTGGGCTAGGTTCATCTTGCCATACCTTAGCTGGTCTTACCTGGGGTTACTTCTGTAACAGCCAGCATTTTGAGACCCCATTGAGTACAGATGATCCAAATTGGCATCACTCTCGTGTCTAGTGCCTCATCTGAGATGATCAGCTGTTTCGGGGGGGGGGTGGCTGGCTGTTTCCCCTTTCCTGTGGCCTATTCAATAGTCCAGACATTTTTATGTGGCAGTTGGCTTCCAAGAAAAGGCAAAAGCAGAAGCTGCCAGGCCTGGTAAGGGCACAGTGTCACTTTGGCCACATTCTATTCGTCAAAGCCAGACACAAAGCCAGCCTAGATTCAACAGGAGGGGAGGTAGATCCCACCTCTGCTGGGAAGAGTGGCGTGTGCATGCAGGGATGGGAGAGGTTTTTTTTTTTTTTTTGATGGGAGAGGTTTTTGCTGGCCATCTTTGCACCCCATCTGTCATGGCTCCCTGGGTTTCATTTTTGCTGTTTCTATATGCAAATTTTAATTCACGTATGGTTCATCTCATGTTCCCTTATTTAACCATTTCAACAAACCTGTAAAGGGAACATGCTTCCATTTTATGATGGGAAAACTGAGGGTTAGAGAGATCAAACAGTTTGTCCACAGTCACAGCAGAGCTGTAAGTCCAGCCCCTCTGGTGCTGGAGCTGTGGAGTGCTGCCTTATATTATGCCTGCACCCAGCTTCACCTTCCCCCAGAGTGAAGACCAGTTACTGGACCCCAGAGTCCAGTAACTACCAAACCATGTCTGAGGCACTGGGAGTATGTTATGTAAATTAAAGCAGAATGGACCACTCTGTGGATTATTATTTTAATTATTTTAGTAATCTAAGGATCTCTATATAACAGGCTTTCTAAACTCAAAAGAGGTAGTCACTTAAGGATGCAATACTTCTTATTTGGAGAATTTTGTGTAGCCAAAGATGAAATCAATAAAGCTATTTCTCCAAATATAGTTTGGTAAATAACCATTTACTTTCCAATTCATTGACTCCTTTCATTTATTTTGCTTTGCATGAGATAAAGGTTGCAGCTTCTAGAGAGAGAATAAACACACTTTCATGGAAAATGTTTTTGAAAATATAGCTCACCCCTCTTTATTGGATGATTAAAGAAAAAAAATCCAAGGTCAACTTTACATTTTTCACCCAGTGGGTAAAAAATGTCACAGGCTGACAGCAGAAGGAAGGATTTGTCTCCACATAAATTCAGTTTGAATCAGAAGAGTTGATTCTGTGATGCTGCAGGAGACTTCAGTTCCGAGCAGGTAGATGCTGGTGGATAATCAATTAGGAAATCTATCTGCCCTTGAGGATGACTTCTTGTGAGCGTTGCAATTTGGCTGCCTTTTCATCACCTCTTCAGTAACCACTTACCTCAGTCTCCAAAAAAGAAAATTCTGACATCTTAATTTTAATGTGGGCATTTGATCCAGTGCTTGAGATAAATATAACCCTGTGTAGTATGGAGAAGGTTTAATGGGAAATGGTTGGCATTCTTTCTTGGTAAACGCACAGGGGAAGGAGAGAGAGGGAGAGAGAGAGAGA